GCGCCTGCACATGCTCAGTCGTTCCTGGCACAGCAGCGGCTGGCTACCAATGCTCGCCGTGGGCCCCTGGGACGCCTAGCATACTTGAACATGCGCCCCGCTGACAAGCATTGATGGACCTCAGGATCCTGTCCACCCGCCCAGCCAGTCGGGGCTTAATCCTAGATCCCCCCAACTCCCCCAGGGCTCAGCATCATGCCTGGGTCAGCTGCTTGAGAGCCTTGAGGTCATGACCTGTGCCTTTTGTCTCCCTGGTGAGACAAGCTACAGGACAGGGCGGGAGGCAGGTACGGGTCTGTTCTTTTTAGCAATGTGACTCTTACCCTTAATATTCTTCCTGAGGCTAATGAGCCGCCAGGATAGAGAGAGTGATTTTATATTTGAGAAGAAATATAATAAAGATTTTCAATCTGCCCTGGCTGGACTCTGGGCACTGAGATGGGGGAGAGAATATGGGTCCAGGACTCAGACCACTGCTTTTTAAGAAAGGCCTGGCTTGTGGTCTTACTAAAGTGTGAATGACTGATAGTACCCAGTGAGAGGTGAGAGTCAGATTTGCGTTTGTGTAACTGTGCATGTGTGCTGGTTGTTTTTTTTTTAAAATATATTTTATTGATTTTTTACAGAGAGGAAGGGAGAGAGAGATAGAGAGTTAGAAACATCGATGGGAGAGAAACATCAATCAGCTGCCTCCTGCACATCTCCTACTGGGGATGTGCCCGCAACCCAGGTACATGCCCTTGACTGGAATCGAACCTGGGACCTTTCAGTCCACAGGCCGATGCTCTATCCACTGAGCCAAACCGGTTTCGGCTGTGCTGGGTTTTAAAGAAGCTTCAGACAAAAATCCCTGCCTTATGAAGCCATTATTTCCAATGAAGGGAGACAGACAATAAAGGAAATAGATAAAATTTTATGTGAGAAGTGCAATAGAGAAAAATAAAGCAGACAGAAGTGATGGGGATGCAGGAGGTAGACTGTGATTAAAAAATTTTTTTATAAGTATTTATTTGAGCCCTCGCGGGTTTGGCTCAGTGGATAGAGTGTCAGCCTGCAGATGGAAGGATCCAGGGTTCCATTCCAGTCTAGGGCACATACCTTGGTAGCAGGTTCCCTGGTCCTGGTTGGGATGCATGCAGGAGACAACCAATCGATGTGTCTCTCACATCAATGTCTCTATCTCTCCCTCTCCCTTCCACTCTGTAAAAATCAGTGGAAAAATATCCTTGGGTGAGGATTAACAACAATAGCAAAAATAATAATAATTTATTGGAGCCAAATTGACAGCATGATGGGGAGCAAGATCTCAAATGCTCCAGGAAGTGGGGATTTTTAATAAAAGGCCAGCAAAAGAAGTCTAGCCAAGGAATTGATATAATTAAGCAGAGACCTGAAGGTAAGTAAGGAAGGGGCCATGTAGGTATCTGGGGAAGAGCAATCCAGCCAGAGGGAACACCATGAGATGAGACCTTGCTGGGTGGGTTAGAGGGAGTGTGGAGTGAGTGAGGGGAAGGGAGGAGGCGAGGGCAGGGAGGTTGCTCAGGGCCTTGTGAGCTGCGGAGAAGACTTGAGCTTTTATCCTAAGTGCGGTGGGAGTCACGGAAGCGTGTTATCTAATTTGGGTGTTCATAGGCTCCCCTTGGCTGCTGTGGGAGGAACTGCCGGGGGGGTTAAGGCCAGAGCTGGGAGACTAGGGTGGAGGTCACTAGTCCAGCTGGGCGGGTGCATAACAGTGGTGGGGGCCCTAGAGGAAGGAGAAATGGTTGGGATCTGGATACAGTTTGAAGACCAAGCCGATGAGATTTGCTGCTGGGTTAGTGTGGAGGGTAAGAGAAAAGAGTTGAAGATGACTCCAGCTTTTAGCCTCATTATCTGGACGGACAGAGCCAACAGAGAGAGGTTGGGGAGCCAAAGGGGACTGGTTCTGGGACCTGTTATGTCCGAGGTGCCGGAGAGATCCCTACATGGAGACATGAGAAGACAGTTGGATCTATGGGTCTAGAGACGGGAGGGATCCTGTGTGGACATCTAAATACAGAGGTCGTCAGCAGATGATTGAATTAAGACCAGGAGCACTAAGAGGGTATGTGAGAACTCAGGGACTTGGCGTAGAAAGATTGCTTGTAGAATCATAAATCGAGGCTGGCAGCAGGAAGCTGTAGTCCCGGGACTGTGGCTGGTACATGAATGAATGAGTAAAGTGTGCACTGATGCGGCCATTTCAGAGAGCAGACTTTGGAAAGAAGTGGGCAGGGCGTCATGAAATAACCTGGAAATTTACTAAAATCAGACTTAGCATAATGCGTGGCAGGAGAAGTCAGACTAACAGCATTTGAGTAGAAACCACTAACACTTTATTGAGCACCTATTATGTACAAACGCCTTAAAGCTGTTATTTCATTCCCATCCTCACAGCTCAAAGAGGTAGGCACTCATATCTCCATTTTAAGGAAACAATAAAGGCAGGACACACATAGGGCCCTTGGGGAGGGGCAG